TTGCTAGTATTTTGGCTCCACACCCACCTGTCACTTGCAATGTTCCATCATAATAGGTGTAACCAATTTCTCCCACTAAATCCCCTCACCCCTGTTGTACAGATTCCAGGTGGTTTCTGTTTTCTTGCTTGGCTCCCTACTGATAGATACTTGGGTGAACATTTCAATAATAACCCTTAGATTGCATTACTAGTTATGTATGAGTTTGAAATCTGTATATCTTTCCTGATTTTTGTTCTCCCTGGTCTATCAAATACTCAATGGTTGAAAAGGCTCCCATTGTGTTGGCAGGTTTGTCAGTTTCCCTTAGTTCTGTCATGTTAATTTATGATGATTTTTATTGTTTACTATTAGTTCAAGTTTTGTTCACATGTATTGCTCCATGGATACATGATTAGAATTGTCAAATTTCTCATGTTAGAACTCAAAGTCCACTGTTGCTCTGTGAATTGCTTGAGCTGAAGTGACTGAGGACTTCCATGGAGAAAATGTTTCTCTCTGCATATTTCTTTTTGGCTTAAACATAGTATCTTTTTATTTCCTGGTTTCTATAATCCCTCAGTCTATAATCCCTTGCATTTTGTTCTGAACATTGTTGAAATTGTTGTTTATCTAGTTTCACACTTTTCCCCCAGCAAGGTGATAGCTGTATTCTTTTACATGGGCTCTGTGTGTGTGTGTGTGTGTGTGTGTGTGTGTTAGAGACAGGCACATATACATACATTTCCATTTCAAAGGAAAGAATAAAGTAACTTTACAGGTTTTCCCTTCCCTAGACTGTTTCTATGGTATCAAAATCATCTGTTTAATAGTATTTGCTGCTAAAATCATCAGGACATGGTCTCTTAGGAGAAATAATTCTTTGATAACTTTTTCATTTTTTAAGTTATTACTTTTCCAGCTTTTCAGCTTTTTTTGAAGTCATTTTGATAATTTATATTTTCATTTTTTGATAATTTATATTTTCTGTGATACCAAACTTTTACCAAGATTTTGAAATCTACTCTAATTCTAATTTAATTAAAAATTTTTGAATTTCTCTTTAGTCATCACAGGTACAACTGTCCTAGCTTAATCCTTAAGTTACTCTTCTGCTTCAGTAAAGAGAGCTGGTGATTTATTGATTTTATTGGGCACTCATCCTTTTGTAAGTAGATGATTTTTAAAAAATAATTAAAATATTTTTATAAAAAAGTGAAATAGAATTTTATAAAATATATTTTTATTGTTTTAAACAGATCAGTAAAACACATTTTATGTTTCATGTGAAAAATACAAAATGCATAAAGAAAAAGTTAATACCCTTCCTCCACCCCACACTTGGTTTAATTAACATAATGCTACCAGCTCAGTATTGTTGTATTTCAATTCCATTCTGCATAGATTTTCTTTGTTGTTTTAAATAAATGCATAGTATTCTATCAAGTGGACATACAATAAAGTATTTGGTATTAGAATTTTCGTTCTTTAACACAGTAAACAGTTCTGCAATAAAGTTTTTCTGTGCGATTTTTGGCATTATAGATCCCTCAAAGAATACTGTTAATAGTGTGCATTTTCACTTTAATACTCACTATACTTAGTACCAAATTACTGCAGTAGCAATAATTTGTATGTATACAAATTTTCATAGGTATGTGACTAGTAGTGATAATGACCTTTTAATATTTATTTGTAGAACTCATGACATTTCCTCCTTTATAAATCCCCTGTTCCCATCCCTTTTTTTCCTTAGACTTTTGGTTATTTTGTAGGCACTCAATGTACTTGGCATAATAACCCCTGTGACTCAGTCATTCATTCATTAGACTTAGAGTCATTGAGTATCTGTACTTTCCAGGCACTTTGGAAGGTGAGTGCTGGGTGCAGAGATAAAGCACAGCATATGTTCTAGTGAATCTTACAGTCTATGGGGAGAGGCAAGAAGCTAGTAAACAAAAATGAAGTGGCTGAGCCAGGAAGGCTGCGCCTCATTAAGGCATGACAAAGGCATGTGACCTCAGAGACCATCCTGGAGAACAGATTAGATCTTATTAGAAAGGAGACAGAATGATATTGGAGGTTTTCAACTAGGTGAACAACATGGTTCAATATATGTTCTTTTAAAAGATCAGTCTGGTTGGTAGGAAGTCAGAGTGTGCTGGGGTTTAGTTAGAAGGCATTGTGGTAATCTAGGTGTACCTAGAGGATGACTGTAGGTGGAGATAGTGATCACAGTTGTCCAGTGGGGCATGTAGTTTGAAAATAGAGCTGACTCGGTTTTCTGGTAGGTTGGATGTTGAAGGTGAAATTTTAACAGCAATTGAGGCTGGTTCTCAGATTTTTTTGCCTGAACAAATGTTTGGTGCTATTTACCAAAGTGGCTGTGGCTACGTAAGGCTGGTATAGGAAGGAGGGAAAGAGGGGAGTTTTGAGGATGAAAATCAAGCGTCACTTGGACATGTTGACATTGGGATGCCTGCTAGAGAGTGTGGGAAGGTGTTGGCTAGGAGCAGGAGACTTGCGCTCCACTATTGGGAGCGGTTAATGTGGAGATGTTACACTGCAGTCATTAGCTTGGAGGTGACATCTGATGCCATGAGACCACATGGAAACACCAAGAGAGAAGCAAGCTTTGGGGCATTCCAAGATTCAAAAGAAGACAGGACGGAGTAAAAATTAAGTAAATTAAGCTGAAAAGCAGCAATCAGAGAAGTAGGAGGAAGACCAGGAGAGTGTATCATCCTCCATAGAATCCAAAAAACTTAAAAATATCTCAAATATGACAGTATGGCCCACTCTATCAAATACAATATCATTTAAAATATATTTTCTAGCCCATTGTTTGTCTTCTGACTTTGGGATTTATCTTGTGATAATAAGTTTTTATAGTCAAACATATTTTTCACTTTATGGTTTGTGAGTTTCCTAACCTGTAAAAGAAAGTTTTCCCCAGCCAAGATGATGTAAATATCCACAGACTTCCTTCATATTTTTATTTATCTTATTTTTTACATTAAACTAGTAAATCATTGTGGATGGCATTTGAAGACAGTGTGAAGTAGGAGTCTGGTTTTATTTCTTTTAGATGTAGAGCCAACTATGGCCGCACACCTATTAGCACATCTTTCCCCCATAGACTTGAAATGTCCTTATTATATATCAGATTTTTATATATATATACCTGGATCTATTCTGGATATTCTATTCTACTGAATTATTTGTCCTAATTCTGATGACTCTAGAGTGACCACTGGGGTCAGGCATCCATTCCTGGTCCACTCAACTTTGGCCTGGGAAGGGACATATCCCATGGCTTGATTATTTTTCAGTGCTGGGTATGGGAGCAAATAATTGACAAGAAGATGCCAGGGAAACAGAAAAATTGATGAATGTTCCCATACACTTTATAGAAACACACATTTCTAATCTCAAGTAACAATCAGTGACAAAATGGAAAAGATTTTTATATATCAAACAATCCTTTAGTTCTTATACCCTTTCAATCCACTTTGGATCTTGAATATGTTTTTAACTCACAGAAAAGAAAGTATGTTCAAGATTTTGGTTTTGAACATAAATCAAGATTTATGTTTCTTTGATTCCCCATTGTGGATAGAACTACAAATTAAATATAGGAGAATTAAGCTAAAAGTTCAGGGAGGTATCCCAGGAAGAAGTTGAGAATGATATAAAGGAATAAATACCAAGAAGTACTTAAATTATTTAAAATTAATTATGATGTGACTCCTTTTATAATCATCCCTCCTAATTTTCCTGTTTATCCCTGCACTACAGCCAAACTGCTCATGACCCCAATCCTGATACCTCTCACCCTGGGCCTTTCCATAACCACATTGCAATGTTGCATGACCTGTAACCTCTCCAAGGCTCAGTTTCTTTATCTGAAAATTGGGGATGATAACAGTAGCTATAATGTAGAATTTCTGAAAATATCAAGTGATATCATGCTAATTACTCCCTCCCTGTTATCCTTGGTTTTTGGTTAAGTGAAAACAAGTAAAGTAGACTAAATAGGACATAACAGAATGTTTTGAGCCATAGTAAATGAAAATACTGCTTTGTGAAGTTTTAATTTCATGAATATATGAACTGATATAAAATACTTCTACATTGTGACATGAAATGAAGTTTCAGGAAAAGCATTTTTTAAAGATTTATTTATTTATGCATAAAAGAGCTGGGGTATAGGCCAGAGGTGCGGAGGGTGGTGGGGGTGAGATGATTCACAGAAAGAGACAGAATGAGGAGCAGAACAGGCAGATTGACTGAAGTACACTGCTGAGGGGAGCACTGGGCAAGACAGGAGAGGTCTGCTGTGCCATGTGGGTATCTCCCTGGCTGGGAATTGAACTCGTGCTGCAGTGTCTGTGGATAGCTTCATAGGTTGCGTCTTAACCATTGCACCATCAGGGAGGCCCAGGAAAATCATTTTTTAAAAGATTTATTTATTTATTTATACAAGCACTGGGTACAGTCAGAAGTGCGGGAGGGTGAGAGAATTCACCAGAGCCAGAGTGGGGAACAGAACAGGCAGACTGATGAAATACACTGCTGAAGGGAGCAGCAGGTGCAGCAGGAGAGGTCTGCATGCCATGTGGGAGCCTTGCTGGCGGCCGAGGATCGAACCAGTGCTGCAGAGGCTGTGGGCAGTTTCGCAGCCCAGCACTCAACCACTGCGCGACCAGGGGAGGCCTAGGAAAAGCATTTTTAACAGCACTTTAAATTGCATGTCATTCATGAAACCTTTCCAGATTTTGTTACCCAAAAACAGGCTCTCTGCCTTTGACCTTCTTGGTTTCCTGCTTTGGAATCACATTCCGGTAGAATTCAGGTTGCTTTTGTGTCTTGTTTTTACAGCAGAATCAGAATCTCTTTGAGTTTCTCCAAATGCTTTGTTCATCTCTGCATAGTTGGCACTGTTCTTAGCAAATTTCTTTGCACATTATAAATGCTAAATACTTATTTTGCTAATAGATGACTAGATTTTATCCATATTTAATTCTGGAGGTGACAAGTTGACAAGCCTGAAAGAGAAACTAGAGACAAATATTCAAGAATTCAACTTCACACACACACACAAAGCCTATCTACTTACTTATTTTAATGAGGAATACTCATCCTTCCTTAATAAAACATTTTCAAATGTTTTGAAAGGGGATTTTGTTATTAGATAAAGTCTTTGCTCTCAATCTACATAGGGTAGGACTTTTTAAACTAGGCTTAATGGACAAGCTTTCAGGAGTCCATAAATTCTCTGAAACTGCACGTAAAATCTCTTAGGCACGTGTGTGCGTGCACACACACAGTGTGAGAGTCTAAGATTATATTTTGCAGGGAGGTGTTCTGTGATCCAGGAAACCACAAAATCAGTCTCTGTTTCATCCCCATCAATAAAAAAGAACTTTCTAATTATCTGCAGTTCCCTTAGCCTCAGTACTCTTTTATCTTAAAAGTCATCCAGCTACAGTTAATGATCCAGATTCTCTCCCTAGCCCAAAGCGCACCCTCTGCTATCACTTTAGGTGCAGAGGGAGGCTCTGTGCCTCTCTCAGGCCATTAAGAAAGCATTTAGTCACCCATCTCCTGTGTCTGGCTCCCTCTGGTAATCTCTCATTGGCTCTCGGCACCGATAAATCACCTGTTTGCTCAGCATCTCCAGGGTTCTCGGAACAGGTGGTCATCACACCTGCCTCCCCTCCTCTGGCATGAAGGAGACCTGATAGGTGTGTGGAGCTTCACAGAGCCAGCTTGCTCTTGGTCTTTCAGCTTGGTAAGGACGGAACACAAGCAATTAACAATTTATGGCTAGGGCCTCCCTGGTGGCGCAGGAGGTTAAGCCTCAGCACTGTGAAGCTATCTGCAGTTACTGCAGCACGAGTTCTATCCCCGGCCAGGGAGCTACCCACATGGTGCAGCAGACCTCTCCTGACTTGCCCACTGCTCCCCTCAGCAGTGTGTTTCAGTAGATTCATCTGTTCCATTCCCCACTCTGTCTCTGGTGAGTCCTCTCACCCCCCCCACCTCTGGCCTACACCCCAGTTCTTTTATGCATAAATAAATAAAATAAATCTTTAAAAAAAAAAACAGCAAAAAGACAATTCATGGTTCCTTGGGACCTCCCACTTAATGAATTTTTTCTGATCAGAAAAGCAAGAATGTGCCCAGAACAATTTGGAAGCCAATGCATCCAATGTTTAAATGGAATTTAAAGTCTGCCCTTCTGTTTGCAGGGGTCCCTTCTGAACTCCCTCTCCCACCAATGAGACTTCCTGGATCATTCACCCCAGAATAAGCAGGGGATGCCCATGGAGCTGTCAGGGGAACATAAACACTGTGACTGTTTTAACAGCTACTTCCCTTCACCTTGACATGTCTCCTCTGTCTTTCATAATAATTCCCACCATTAAAACTGACCTTGCTTTCCAGAGGCCAGATGTCAGGGCCCTGGGGAAGCAGACCTAAGGTTTAAAAATCAAGAAAACGTTTCCAGTCAGCCACGGAGTATTACAGACAAATTACTCTCTGATTTTGGAGGGGGGGCAAAGCATGCAACCTCTGTAAGGTGATGCTGTGATTCCGTTTCAGCTGTTTTCCAAGCTGTCCTCTCAGGCCAGCAAGCAGTCAGCTTTAGGGAGAGTAGTCCAGGTTGGATGCTAATTCAGCAGCACCTCCCAGCAGCAATTACCTGGAAGAAGGAAAGCCTCATTCCAATTAAAGAGTTGATTCCTGATTTTTTTTTCCCCCTGCTCACATGGGATCTAAAAGCCTCAAACATCAATCTCTTCAAGAGCACAACCCTCTCCCCCCTCCTACCTCCCCACCCTGCTGCTACCTTAATTGAGCACTTACCTTATGGGCAAACAGTTTAGTGGTAAAATCAAATCACTTAAAAAGGTGACTCTTCGGAGGCGAGCGTCTTAGGACAGCAGCGATCTCCATCATCTCTCCTGCATCCACTGAAAGTGCGGCTTCTGTTCTTGGCTGCCTTTCCATCTTGCATGACACTCAGCCTGTTTCACTCTCCATGGCAGCCACCCTGGGCACATCTGAGCTCGGCCTCCTTTCTTCTTTGCCCTCCCAAAGAACTCCCTTGCTTCTGAATAAGTGCCTCTCCTTGTCCTCCTGCCTCGCTGCGCATCAAAAACATACCATGTGATCTACCCTTTGCCAGTGGGTTGGCCTTGACCAGCGGTCACTTTGCAAAGGGGCGTCTGCCAGTCGCCTAACAGGCAAGGAGGTTTTAAATCCCCATCTGCGTCTCACCCCTCAGCAGACTGGAGTCTTGTTTCTCTTATGCCCTATGGGCATAGCCATACCACTGAAGGAAGGTCTTTGCCTGTTCTGGTTTCCCAGCGCTTAGCACATACTTCACAGTCCTAGAAGGCCCATTTCTGCTTCTCCATAGAGGTGGTGATAATCAGGGCTAGACCGGCGAGGCGTGCATCCCACGTCCCCACTGCTCTGCTGGCCTCCACACCTGTCTTGGGCAGAGAGGAGCAGAGCCTTGCCTGTCGCCTCCTGGGCCCTCAGCCTCGCCAAGGAGCAGGGGGAGCTTGGGGACCAGCCTTGTTGTGCTCACGTCCCCTGTTAACTCAGAGCATCACGAAGAGCATGATGGACACATCCTTCTTAGACACTTAGACCCCCAACTCCTGACAACCCCTACTCTGATCTGTCACAGACTCCTGCCCTCCTGTACCACCTTTGAGTGGGCCACTCACCACCAGAAGTAGCTGTGTCCTCAGTCTGCTGTTCTAGGGAGAGGGAATGTCCTCAGGAGGACCCTGAGGCCAGTGCTTTCCCTCTAGCCCCTCTGGTGTCCTCATCACTGTTTTCACACCAGCCTCCTCCTTCAGATTTTACTCCATGTATCCAACTTCACCACCAAGCCCTCTGCCTGGATGAAGCTTCCTTACGCACTGATTGGCACCCTCCTCTTTCATAGAAAGTGTAGTTTTGGGTCCATTGCTCAACTCTTGCCATTGTCCTGAGAAGTGGACATAAGCGGCCGTCCCAGTGCTCTGCAGGCTCAGCTCTTAGGCTTCTGCTGCTCCAGTGACCACGGCTTCCACCCTCTCTTGGTCCTCTGCCCTCATAGCCACAGCCAATTTCTTTGCAGGACTTTCCGGCCATGCCCCTTCCTGACCTCAGCCTCACCACCCCATGCTGAGATCACCAATGCTTGCCTTGTGCCAGCTCACTCCTTCATACACCCCCAACTTTAAAAATTCATTCCAGCCCATCAGGATTTGGCATCCACTGCCCTGATCTGTGGCTCCCCTGCAGCCCCCCAAAAAGCATCGCTGTCCTGCTCTCCTAGGTTGGCTTCTGTGACCATCATGTACTCTTCATTCTTTGCACATACTTAGCTCCTTCTGTTGCTCTCTTTTGCCATAGGCATCTGCAAAGGTCCAGTCCCTGGCTCAGTCCAGGGACCCACCTTCTCGTCACCTGTCCAGAAATTTCTGCCTGCAAGTTTCTGGTTGTGGCTGGAGAATAACGCAAAACCGTATTGTCATGTCACTTTCTATTCAGGAGGTTAACCTTGCATGTGGCCTCAGGATTACCAGCTAACTTTAGCTCCTTCTGCCACTTTCCTAGACACTGTTTTGCCTCTTTTCTCTCTTCAAACCTCCACTTCCTTTGTCCCATTCTCACTCCGAGCAGATAACCTTTCTTCTGAAGTTACTGAAAATCACAAGCAATCAGAAGAAAACGTTCATGTCCTCAATCAATCCACTTGCAGCCATACAATAAAACCCTGCCTTCCCCCCGTTCCAATTCGAGAACCTGCCTTCTTGGTTCTCTAACTACCTCTCTGGCCCTTTCTTTGTTTCCTTTGCTTTGTTTCTGCATATCCCCCAGATCTCTAAACTGTGGAGTGCTCAGAGGGCCTGTGCATAGTCCTTTTCTTTCCTTGTACGCCAGCTTGGGGACCCCGCCCACTCTTGTGGCTTTGAAGCCACCTCTGCCTGTATCACTAGACTGAACCCTCCCCCATGTAAGTCTCCTCTGTGCACCTACTGGCCAGCGTTGCTGCTTTGCATGTCTAATATGCATTTTCCAGCTGACACGTCCAAATTGGAGCTTCTAGTTATCTCACCTCTAAGTCATTTTTTTACCATCTTGGTAAAGTAAGTACAGATAAGTCAGTCTCTCACCTTCTAATTTTTTAAAGGCAGACCCCAAGATCATCCTTGATTCATCTCTCTCCTCTTATCCTTCTTTTTTCAATCCATTAAGATCACTCTTCTACCATCAAAATATACCCAACATGGGTCCACTCACTCTGGCACATGGATTGCCATGTTTGAAATGTGCCTGCCACAGTGTGAGGGTCCCATGACTGTCTGTGCCTTGTGAACACAGAAGGGGCAACTTAGAATTTTACAAATGAAGAAGGCAATTTAAGTGACTTGACTTCAGATCTTTCTGAAGGTAGATGCAGACAGCTTCAAACAGTGCAAGTGGAATCAATACTAGGTTAGACTTTACCTCTCTGACTGTATTCTTCAATTTTCCTACAAAAATCTTTGTAGGAAAAGATTTTCTGAGAGGTGACCTTTACTTCCCATCATGTGCCAGATAAATGAGCCCTATGTCCTCTTAGAGGGTAGACCTCCATTATTGAGTCTCCTTTATACATAAGGCAAACATTAGTTTTAATTTCTGTTGGAACAGGGTTTTATGCTCCCAGCCGAGGTTTCCCTAGAGTGCTTAGGATGTTCAAGCATCGTGTGGTTGGCTTTTATTACATCAGCCACATGTCTCCATAGCAATCTCACAGCTGTGCAAGAAATTCATATTCTTCCCTACTCACTTACCAGGTATCCTTTTTGTATTTTAAATGGTATAGTGTGAATTCAGGTATTTGGGCAGATGGCTCAGTAGGAACAGAAAGCCTGGTATGTGAAGCCATGTTCATGAAATTTCTGTGCTTTTAATTTTGACTGCCCAGAGCCTTCCCAAGTACTTAAATATTTATTTAGTTTTTACATCCATGCTTCTCCACATACTCAGTCCTTTAAGATGCCTGATCAGATGCTTCACAGCACTGACATGGATTAATGCAGAACTGAACTTTAATAAACAGAACATAGAGTAGTCTTATGTGTGTTTGATTCATTTTCTCAACATGTTTGTTACTCAGGCATTATGTTAGTCATGTTTATTCATGATCATCTCATAGTCATCCATTGTGTGAATATACCACAGTGTATCTGTGTTACTACTCATGAACATTTATTTCCAGTTTGTGATTATTATGAATATTGTTCTTAAGATTTTTGCAAATGTCTTTTTTGGGGCATATATGACAGCATATATGGGCATGGAGCTGCTGGGTTAGAGGATGTACCTCTGCGTGTTTAGTAGATACTGTTGAAAAGCACTGTTACCAAGTTATATCCCCATGCCCAGTGGATATGAATTCTGTTGTTCCACATTCCTGCCAACACTTGATAATGTCAAATTAGTCAATTATGATAGCCTGTCTCTCAGCTACAGAGTGATAAGTGATTTTGATTTTCACTTACATTTTCCTTATGACTAATGATGTTGAGTGACTGTTGTGCGTTTTTTGGCCTTTGGGTTATCCTGTTTTTTTAAGGCAGCTGTTCACGTCTTTTGCCCATTTTGTTTGCATTATCAGTGCATTTCTTATGAATTTAAGTATTTGGAAATGAGTTCATTGTCACTGAAAATAATTATCTTCTTTTTATGTTTTTCTTTCTAACTTCCTAAACGGTGTCTTTGGACGAGGAGAAGTTTTCAATTTTTTAATATCTTCCTTTATTATTAGTGTGTATGTGTCCTGTTAAGAAATCTTAGAGTCACTCAGAGCTATGAATGTAATCTCCCAAATTATCTTTTAGAAACTTTATTGTTCTATCACAGTCAAGTCAATCTCCATCCTCTGTCTGTACTTACTGAGAGTGTGGTGTCCACATGACTTAAATCTGTCTTAGAGAATTCTTTGAAGTGTGGGACATCTAAAGGTAGAAATCCTAAATACCAATGTACAAAGACTGAGTCAATAGATACCAAAACATCTGTTCAATCTGGGTCAAAAAAAAAAATCGATTAGTTGATCATTGGTTATCATGTTGATCAACTAAATGGACATTTTGATCAAAATGGTTCAGTTGCCAGTTTGGGTTTGGCATTATGAAAACTTAGCAAAGGGACTGAACCCGAAACTTTTCTTGGAAGAAGAGAGTGATCTTGAAATTGGCTTCTGGCCCAGACATAATTATTCCCAAGACACACCTGTGAACAAAACCAGGCTTAATTTCCATAGTCACCTCATATTATGATTATAAATTCATCACTTTCTTGGCAGGGGCCTCAACTGGGTCTGTTATATTTCCTCTGGCTGTAATATCCAATGATTCCCTGCTTCTCTGCAATTCTGGGCAACTGAATAATATCAAAATTTAAATATAAGTAGTTTTAAAAT